GTGTGTGTGTGTGTGTGTGTGTGTGTGTGTGTGTGTGTGTGTGTGTGTTGGGGGGGAAGGCCAGTCTGGAGCCGACACGGCTCTGCAGACATTGGCCTGCTGTTCCTGCCATGCAGTTGTTCAGGTTGTGATCACCACTACCGTTCATAAGGCATGGCTTGTGAAAAACATGAGGACATAAGGGGAAGAAGGACAACAGAGATCACAAGAGAAGGGCATAGGAGCAAATGTAAGACCGATAATGGGGGTAACAGTGGGAAGGACATGGGTGCAAAAAGATGGACGCAACACTTGCTCAAGAGTGTCACATTTCGCAGGAAATGGAAACCTCACAAATAGAGAGGATGGGGATAAGCGTGGCATGAAGGGAGCGTGCATGGGTCGCGCCACTGGGTATAGATGAGAATGGTGTGAGAATGGTGTCGGCACTCGGGGGTGTCCGGGTACCGCTAGGAGTCTCCCGGGGCCAAGTCCCAGTTTCCCGAATTCTTCATTTCTGACCGTTGATTCTGAAGATCAACGACCAGAAATGAAGAATTCAGCCAAGTGGGACTTGGCGCCCGGCCTTGGCCACTCATTTATAGCCAGGGTCTTCTCGCCTATGGTTCCGCCCCCTCCATGCTGTGCTGCAAATAACGACTTTTTGTATGAACTCTTGGGCCATGCTTGCCAGTGAAGAGCAACTGGACTCGTGTTATAGCCAGCCTGAGGCCTTCCCCTCTATTGTTCTGCCCCTTGCATCCTGCAAATAACGACTTACTTGGCCCAGCTATCAATGCCGAGCCTGGAATGCCCCTGCGCGCCGATTTTTGCCGAAGCCCCGGCGTACCGTTTCAATTTTTTTTGGCTGGTGCTTCCAGCCATTGTGGTCTGGTACCCCGAAGCCGCAGCTGATATGGCTTAACTCTTGGGCCACGCCTGCTGGTGAAGAGCAACTGGACTGAACCCCCCCAGAGTAGATGGGGCCCCTGACTGCGAGGGTTAAACCAAACAAACAAAAAAAAAAAGCTATGGCCTTTCGAGCTGTCTGTGGCACGGAAATGTCCGAGAAAAGAGGAGAGAAACCTAAACACGACTACAATGACCATCATGATGGCCCTTTTTTTTTTTTTTGACTCCCGATCAGACAGAAACTATACTCAATCTTTTTTTTTTGTTTTTTTTTTTGGAAGCCTCTATCAGGCCATACTAAAAACCATTGGATAGAGGCTGGGGACCTCACAATTCGACCCAGAGTTATCCTGGCAGCCTTAGCCAATTACTCAATCTTTTTTTTTTCTTTTTTTTTCGGAAGCCTCTATCAGGTCATACTAAAAACCATTGGATAGAGGCTGGGGACCTCACAATTCGACCCAGAGTTATCCTGGCAGCCTTAGCCAATTTGGCTTATGTTCCAAAATTCCTCTTTTCCAGACACTGATCCGTCTATGCTCTTAGGATTGAGGGAGGGGTTCTCACAATTCAACAGGCTCGAGCTGGGGCCATTACCCAATTTTGACTAATGCTGGAAAGCGGGTCCAGCGTCCCTTCCACTTCTAAACCATTCCAAAACTTCCCAAAATCAACATGAAGGTCCAGTAATTATAACTAGGTTCTCAATGAACTCTGACAGTCTATGCACAGCATGCACTCAACCGGCCTAAACCGGCCCAAACTACAAACAGTCCCCTGAAGCCTGACCGTAGAACCCTGTTGTTCTGTGACCATGTTCACTAACACCATGACCGCCCTTTAGTTGATCAAATCTTCGTCTGCAGCATGTTTGTGTAACAGACATCCTGATCGTGAATCATGCCAGCGTCGTCTGTAATCTTCATCATATTCGCTCTGTTTTGATGTTCACCGATGTTCACTCAGTTCTGTCAGCAAACTCTTGCCAACCACCCCATAAGGATTTCCCTTCATCTCTCTCTCTCTCTCTCTCTCTCTCTCTCTCTCTCTCTCTCTCTCTCTCTCTCTCTCTCTCTCTTTTTGAATGTTTCTCGCCATAAAGTTTCCACTGCATCGCTTTCTGCTGGCCCGTCCTGGCTGATCTGCTGTCTGCTGCTTAGTGAAGTTCGCCACTGCATTGTCCACTGTCCATTGTCTGCTGTCCACTCTCCGCTATCCGCCGTTGCTATCCCACTGCGAATGGCTCAATATTATTCTCCTATAGAGATCGTGTGCTTCTACTTCTAGATCACCCACGGTAGTGCCCACCGTCGATATCCTTTCGCAATTGGCTTGATACAAACAGCTTTTTTACGTTTCTCCACTTTAAACTACCAGTACTTGGCCCAGCTATCGATGCCGAGCCTGGAAAGCCCCTGTGCGCCCATTTTTGCCGAAGCGTCAGGGTACCGATTCAGTTTTTTTTCTGGCTGGCGCTTCCAGCCATTGTGGTCCGGTACCTTGAAGCCCTAAAGGAGTGGTGGTTTAATGGGGAAGCGCCGCGGCCAATAGCTGGGCCAAGTACTGGTGGTTTATTAAGCAAGGGAGCTCTGCAGATATCTTCCCATCTCGCTGTTACCGAGTCAGCTCCCTGTACTTCTTCTTTCCTCGTTTCTGTACGTTCCGTTTTCTCTGCGCCTTGATGCTCCAGCTGACTCTTGTGAGGAAAGCTCTTCCTGACCCTTGCAAGTCTTGTATGTTCCATGGGAAGGGCGCTTTCGCACTGCGCTCTTCTGTTCAACATGTTCAAAATGTTCGAGGTGTTTTCTAGTATTCTTATCACCCACTCTCCCCCCTGATGGGCCCACCACATGTCCACAATGCCAAGGACAAGTTCATGTCTGAGGGAGGAAAGCAAACCAGTGGCGAACCGGGAGGGCTGCCTCGACAACCTATGGGGTGGGGTTAGTCTAGGTGGTGAGAAGAGATCAGCTATGGTAGTTGTTGGTTAGGTTGGTCTTGTCCCTGAGTTGGAATATCATGGTAAGGGAGAGCTAGGAGTTGTTCTAGGATTAGGAGGCCAGAACGGCTAAGATAGTACAATTCTATTTTTCTATTTTTTTCATCGCCATCTTTTCCATCATACGCATTTTCTTTCATTCATATGAACCAATCAATGTCATGATGTAGTTCAGGGACGCTGCACCCGGTTTCCAGCAGGTGTTGCTCCCCACCAATAGATGGAGAAAAAAAAAAAAAAAAAGTTGTTGCTCAAGTTCACATTGAAACTTGACAGCTTCACGACACGCCTTGCCTGTGCTAAGTGTGTGATGCGCAACCTCACACCCCGCGCGACGCTTTGGACGCCAATCAGAGTAGTTGGGGGTGTGGCCGAGGATTTTCGGCCGGTGGGGTTGAATCGCCCAGGCGAAACAGGGTATTCTTGTTTCGAGCCGAGAGTTGCCTTTTGGGGGTTCGAGCCGTCGTCAAGAGCAAGGGACGGAGAGAAAACTCATTCCAGAGCAACCATAAAAAAAAGGGGAAACAATCAAAAAGGGAAAGAAAGAAAAAGGAAGAAAAAGACGGGGAACGAAGTTTCTCTTTTCGTTCCTTGTGGCACCTGGTTCGCGCAGACCTTGGGGCGGTCAGTTCGGAATAGGGAAGTTTCAGGCCTCGGTGTCAGATTCGTTGAGGCCACGCGGACATCCTAGCGTGGGGTCGTTGAGGGCGGGGTGGGCCGAGGAGATCCAAGTTTGAAAGTTAGCCGGGAGCGCACCCTCGTTCAAGTTGCAGGAGAGTTCTGGGAACTGAGCCGCACCTTCGTATCCCAGAACTAGTCTCCGCCACGAACACGGATCCCCACGACACTAGCGGCATTTAAACCGAGGTTGCCACGTGGTGTGGGACGCAGAGCAGGGTAACACCATGAGATTGGTGTAGGGCAGTATCAGTGGAGGGGAAGAGAACCGATCAATCAACACAAACCCACTCCCTCAGATGTGGCTGGCCCTAGCGGGGTTATGCAGACGGATCTGCTTGGTTCGTTGCAGAGCGCTCCACAGTGTCCACACGTCCGCGTCGCAGTACACACTATCGTAATCTGCAATCGGGAAGGACGACAACACGTTGCGAGGGACCGATACAAAGGTTGAGCACGGGCAAGGGTCCGCGCTTACGTCAGCAGGGACGAGCACTGACTCCATACAAAGATCAATAAAACCCGCCTTGCCCTTCTGAGTCAGGGATCCGGGGTTCTGTCGAGTCGCGGAGGTATCATCCACATCGTGGAGGCGCAAGTGACTAATCTCTCGGGTTATCGAGTGTAAGTCGCGGGGCGACCCCCACCTGCTTCGTTCGTATCC